ATATTGAAAATAGCATATCTTTTAAAATGTTTTTTAATAATTTTTTATTGAATTATTGAAACAAATGAAATTTCAAATGGTGCTGAGTGGTTAAGATACAACTATTAACTTTCTACATCGTATATCAATAATTTGTTGTTATATATCTTAAATAATTGGATGCTTAAATCAATGCATAAATCAATAGTTACGATTTATTTATTATTTTATAATAAATGATACTCGTTGAGAATACAGTAAGAGATTTTTTTGTATTTATCCATTTATATCCAATTTAAAATAAAAACTTTTGCATTATAAAGAGAACGAACCGTACAAATTTATTTGTTTCTAAATATATTTTAGAAATATCAAAAGTATTAAAACTTCTAAATATTTAAAAAATTTGTATGCTTCCTTCTCAACGAATATAATTGTCACAACAATGAGCAATACTTAAATATTAATCTGTGATACATCGACTTTTACTATTTGTTTCTTTATCCGTACGTATATATGTTTCGTGTGCACGTGTATATATTGTAAAACTGTCAACTAACTATTGATTTGTAACAAGACGAAACAAATGTACGAGACAATCTTAGCTGTTAGCTAATGCCAAAGTTAATTGTAAATTTATGCATTGTATCAATTACTGTTCGCAAAATGGTTGGATTTTTAAATGATTCTCGGTATCTCGGTATATTTTGAGAATGACAAATGCTATTTGTATATATGTAAATAAACTGTTACGATATCTATTATACAAAACGTGTCATGTTCCATTAAGTTGTATAAAAATTTAAAAGTATAGAACAAATATGTATTTGAATTTCGCGTTACTGCAGTTCTACTTGAGACGGAACACAGAGACGTGTGTACACAAGAGATCGTATTGATGATGATAATAGGACATGTAACATGTAAATGAGACAGTTGGAAGATGCTGAAAATAACTTAATGCGTTCCTTGGACGTATACAAAGTGTGTGTTACCATCGTTAATTGTTAACATCGTGCTTTGAGTTGCAAAAGTACAGTGAGAAAAAAAATGAATTGGTATCAAATAGCTAATATGATTTGTATCGTAAAATGTGTAATATTGGCGACAACTAGTAAGTTCAATTATTCTTACATTTTGATTTATTACGTTGTTTTGTAACAAGAATATATTTTCAGTTCCACTTATTGCTGGACGCTTTGGCTATCGTAAACGCGGTACGTATAATGTGTATATTTCTAACAACGTTTTTATTTTGCAATCGATGCAATATATTTCAGATCAGCATACTTGGGCTCGAAACTTCAAATTGTGTGATGGAAAATTGCAGTCCCCGATATCCATATCGTCGTTTAAATCGATAACTCTTCCACTGCCTGCGCTTGAGATAATTGGGTATCGTGATTTTTTGCCCAGTCCATTGTATCTAAAGAACAATGGTCATTCAGGTATTACGATTGAATTTAACTCTAAGATGATATTTGATAATATTTCTCTCTTTTCAGTCGTAGTGAATGTAAAGAATCATTTAAGAAAAAGGTTGCCTTATATATTTGGAGGATCGCTCGACATAAATCAAGAATATGAAATAGATCATTTGCACTTTCATTGGGGTGCAAAAAATAACAGGGGATCTGAGCATGTGTTGAATGGTATTAGGTAAAACAGCATAAAATATGCGAGAAGAACATACAAGTGACAGAGGAAGAAACGTTATTATCTTTCACTTAATTTTTTCATGCGTTCCCTAGGTATCCTATGGAAATGCATATAGTTCATAGAAATAGGATTTATTCAAATTTGTCCAATGCATTAAATCACAAAAATGGTCTTGTAGTTTTAGGGATCTTCTTCCAAGTAAGTCCTCGTGGAATAAATTTTCATTTTTCGGGGCATTATTCTATTTAAAGTTTATTATATTTAGTTGCAGGAAGAAGATAACGAATCGTTGTATTCTATCATAAATCACTTGACAAGCGTGCGATGGTTAAATAAGGAAATAAAATTAAACACATCTGTAACACTGGCTTCGTTGCTACCCAAAAATACAGATGTATTTTATAGCTATAAGGGTTCCTTGACTACACCTCCGTGTAACGAGGTAGTTACATGGATAATTTTTTCAACGCCTGTACCAATATCTTTCTTACAGGTCAAGCATCCTTTCGATTCGCACCTTAAATTTCAATTAATATCTTTTTCTGCAGAGATTTTCTCCTTTATTTGTACTTATTTCTACGTGTGTTGTTTGTTCGCAGTTAAATAAATTTAGATTACTTTCCGGTGGAAATAAATTGATAGCTGATAATTACAGAAAATTACAAAATATCGGACTCAGAAAAGTGTACGTTAGGAAGTTAAATCCACGTTTATTTGCGAAATATAACGAAACGATTTTTAACGTCGCGGATTTGGACTGGTTTTGGCACTAAATAAATTTCCAGATTGAACTAATTTTGTGCTTTCGACACTTTCGTATTTAAGCAAAATAAAGTGTGATGCATTTTTTCATCGAGCTAAAATGAAAGATAAAATATATTTCAAATTAACCGTATTCGGACACGAGTAGTTCTCAATACCTTAATACCTATTGCCATGGAGGATAAAAAATATATCGATTGGAATAACTAAAAAAAGTACAGTGTTTAATTTCAAGAGATAAAATCTCTTTCTTAACTTCCTGTAGCTTTCTAGGCATTCTTATCTATTGTTCGAAAAGAATGACTTTGTATAGTGAGTCATTCTCAAGTTATTAAAAAAAAAAAGCATGGACAGCGAATAACTCGTCGAGTGTACTCGTTTAAAAAAGGCGGGAACTTTCTGTCATGCCTGATACGCACGTACTTGAGTAGTCGCGTGGATCAGTTTGAACCTATCCGTGTAACTTTAATACGCATTGATCTAACGAAGTGACGAACAACTGGAGAATATGACGATAGAGCTGATAAGATCGAATTTAATCGGAAGCCGTTACACTTTTTGACAATGTCGTCGTTCAAATTGCAGAGGATTTGAAACCAATCTATGTTGACGTACACGCAAGAATCGTCTTTTGAGAAATTCGAAGAGCAGACCAGTGCAACGTGACAGTGTGGTTTATTTTAAACGAGAAATTCTAAAGTATCAACGATGACAATAGCTGAAAACATTTCGTGACGATAATCGAAAATCATTTCGTAGCCTCTTACATCGTACCGTATGCTGCTACAGGATATACACATATGAATTCCTACATCTAGGTTATGCGGCACTTATTTATCGATCGATTTTACTTCTTCCGTACCTGACCCGTTTGTTATTTACACGGATTCAGGACACGGAGAATTCGTCGCAATTCGCCTGTCATCGTGGACTAAAGATATCTTTTTAACAAAAACTATTCGTTTCGCAAAGTAAGAATCGAAGATGGTCTTCGAGTCGATCGTTGCTGAACTTTTAAACAAAATATTGGGGGAGTACATTCAAAATTTGGATTACTCGCAATTAAAACTGAGCTTATGGGGAGGTAAGCATCGTTACGAATTGTCACGAGAGAAATTATTTTAAAAGTTACGGAGCATTTCATGTATGTACGGCGATATAAGGTATGGCGAGGAATGTGTTTCTACATGATTGAAAAGTTTTGATAAGATCTCGGGGGAAATTTAGAAAAATAAAATTTGCGATAATAACGCTTAATGCACCGGGCATAGCCTTCGAATATTTCATAAATGTATATACATGGATGTATTATTAGTAGGTCGACGTGAGATCAGCTTCTATTTATGCTACGATCTCTTCGTCCTTATCGCTTTATCGCTTACGAATGATGCGTTGAATTACGTATACATATATACATGCACGGCGACTCCCACTAACGAACATCCTGTAACTGCTTTCCGGCGGTATATTTAAAATGACAGTTGCCTGTAAGAAATTATCGATATATGTGAAATACGTGTTATTATTATTTATTAGAACTATCGTTATAAAAGTTTTATAAGTAATTGTGCAATTTTGTTTATTTTAACACGATCGAATCCGCCGATATGATTGATTTCAGACTTTTCGTTTCTTTACAAATGCTTAAAATATACGGTCTACAAATTTTTTAACGTTCTTAAATACTGCAATTTATAGCATTTCTGAGAAGAAAAGTATCTTCGCTCGCATCTAGCCGCTGCGTGATGTAAAAGCAGAATAAAATGAACGATGCTCTTTGAAAGTAGAGGCTTCAAGCTGTAAAATTTTAGCGAGTTCGATTTTATCGTTTTACGATTTTGTTTTTTTTACAAAATTATAACAGTTTGAACGTTCAAGTTCCCGAATATTAATGGGAGTCACTGTACACATATATTTCTGTACGTTGTATGTAACGTGACAAAGTTAACGCTAAAATAAAAAATAATAATTTACGCCATCGCTTTAAAATTGCCTTATTTGGAATATTTTTGACTAGAATATTTTTATTATTTTCGGCGTATAGTTGCTATTTGAATTATTTCAATATTTTAATCGCGTTATTGGTATTTTGTAGAGTTTCAAACGTTTAAATCTATTTATCGTCGTTGTTATATTATTATTACGCGTATACGTAAGATTTTATTCTTACAAGTACGATAAAAAGAATCCTCATAGTTGCAATTGTGCATTTTCCTTTTACAAACCTTGTGGATAATTCAAACTTTGTGATTCATTTCTACTTCTTCGTAAAAATCATTCGATTCTTTTACATTTTTCAAATTTAATCACATGTATACGAGATTGATGAAAAATTAATTTTACGATCTTTCACGATGCTTCATTTTCAATGTGTATTGCAGTATTTTGTTAGACATACGTACATACGTACGTACGTACGTACGTACATTTGCTTTCATAAATGAAAATGTAATTTTTATTTTATATGAAAACACATTTTATATTTCTCTTCTTTTAGGAGATGTAGTACTGACAGATTTGTTAATAAAAGAAACTGCGTTAGATGTGTTGGATCTACCCGTTAGATTGGAATATGGAAGATTAGGTTTGTAAATCAAACGTGTCTGTTCGACGAATAATCGTTCTAATCTTTTGTCTTCCTTCCTCAGGGAAACTTATATTAAAAATACCGTTCAAAGATATGTGGAACGGACAAATCGATGCAATAGTCGAGGAATTATTTGTGCTTGTGGTACCTTCAACCCAGGTTGCGTACGATGCAGAGAAAGAAGCAAAAATACACCTTGAAGCAAAACGCGCAGAGCTTGCGAGAGTTGAGAGAAAGAAACAGTTAGCAGATACCAAGTGTAACAAAATATTTCATTGAGTAATTTTAATGATTTTGTATTTTTTAATTGTACGGTTGAAGCAGTCGTCGTTTCATTTGTTGTTCAGCACAAGAAAAACTAGATGATTCGATGGTTGAAAAACTGGTTGCTCGTATGATAAAGAACATTCACATTGAAATAAAAAAGATACATGTGAGATACGAAGATCATATTTCATTTAAAGATCATCCCTTCTCAGTTGGGTTTACATTAAGTACATTTACTTTGGAAAGTTGTACAGATTCTTGGGAGACAACAGGAAACTTGAAAGATATGTACGCCATTCCACAAATTTACAAGGTAAGCCTGTGAAATGCCGTGGAGAAGAAACAATGCTGCAAAGATTTTGCAGACTGAGACATATTTTTTTCCAGCTATGCACGTTAGATGGTTTGGCAGTGTATCTCAATACAACTGCGGAACAATTTAGTAACACGCAGTCGGACTATTTAAATCTGTTTTACAATGGAATTGCAACCACGGATTACAATCCACTTGGTTATCAGTACTGTAAGCGGATAGAATTAATTTAATTTGTCACGTAAATCTTATAATTTAGAGTTTCTTTGTAATCGTTTCTTCATATTTATTTAGTATTGGGTCCGATAAATGTCAATGCGAAATTAAAATTAAATCCAAAGCCAGAAACGGATGGAAGTAACTATACAATTCCAAAGGTGTGGTTAGACATGGAAATGCAAAAATTAAGAATAGGGTTGGAGAGAAAACAATATCATACTCTCGTACAATTAGGAGAGGGTTTAGATCAAGCTCAAAAGGCAGCACCATATAGAAAATATAGGCCAAATTTAACATCGTACAGGGGCCATTATAAAGAATGGTAATAAAGTTATTCCAAACAATTTCTATATGATAAATGGAAGTGAAAGAATGATCTTTGTACAAGTTCTTTGTTCATTCTCAGGTGGAGATTTGCGTACACTTGTGTCTTGGAAGAGACAGTTCGTAGAAAACGCAAAAATTGGGATTGGAATCATATGAAAGAACACCGGGATATGTGTCGCACTTACGCCGATGCTTATCAAACGAAACTAACGACTAAGAAAGTCGTGCACGAAACAGAAGATGTCCTTACTAATTGTGAAAAAAGATTGGACATTTTTAATTTGGTCATCATAAGGCAGAAGATCGAAATGGAAGTTAGTTGACGGATAAAAGATAAAAAACGTATTAACCGATAAAAGAACGTATATATTTTTCAATGTTTGCTATAACGAGTTTGTTTTTCATTTTTACTTCAAAGGTAGAAAGATTGGCGGAAAAAGAAAGAAGTCTGAAAGCGAAACGAGGTTGGTTCGGTTTCTTATGGTCCAGTACGCAGGCAGAGGAAACGCAAGAATTGAATTCTGCAGCTGCTATAAGTAATAATCTCGACTTCTATTGTATACTATTTATATACTTAAATTACTATCGAGTAAGTTTTTTTATTTGTCTGTATTTAATTTTCGTTCAAATATTCATCTTAGTGAAGAAATTTAGCGAGGCAATGACACCGCAAGAGAAGGAAAAGTTGTACAGAGCAATCGACTATCAAGAAAATAGTGCGCCAGCCCATTATCCTGAAACATACGAGATGATTGATACGCGATTTCTTTTACACGAACTACAAATTATAATTTTAGATACGGATAAAGAGCATCCTTGTGTCCTAGACCTTCAACTTCACAGTGTTGAGGCAGGTTTTAAGTCGAGACCATCTGCCAATGCTATTTTGTATGTGTGTGTTTTATTACAGAAAAGAAAAAGAAAAAAGATAGTAAAGAAAAGGAAAAGAAAGAATTAGTATAAAAAACGTGAATTGTTGTATTTTAACGTTTTAACATTTTCCTTCTCGCAGAGTTACAGTATCAATTAACGAGATGAAATTATTAGGAACGAAACAAGATGAACATATTCCTTCACTTTTCAATTCGCATCAGCATGGCGCGGATAACGTTTTACTGTCGGTGTCGTACGAAAAGAATCCTCTCGATAAATTATGCGGTGATCGTATCGTAGTAAGATCGAAATCTGTGGATATTATTTACGATGCACAGACAGTAATCGAATTGGTTAACTTGTTTAAAGTACAAAATTCATCAACTTTGAACAAGTAAGAACATTATTCTCTTCTCTACTTTGTATTTTAACAACTGCTTTGTAATAATTCGTTATCTTTACGCATAGTCTGCAAGCAGTTGCTGCGGAACGATTGGAAGATTTGAAAGAAATGTCGGCTTTAGGTTTGGAACATGCTATTCAAAAGCATTCAGTGTTAGACATACAGGTAAAAATTCACTTTACGATAGGCATTCGTTGTGACAAGCAAAACTTAACTAATCTAATAAAAATATACGATTATTTAACAGGTTAATATGCAAGCTTCTCAGTTAATCATACCGCATGATGGATTTTATGATAACACAAAATCGTTATTAGTTGTGAATCTTGGTAGTTTGCAAATACATTCTTTGGAAAAGCCAAAAGGTGACGACAAGGCAAACGTGTCTGTTAAACAATTGATCAGTATGGGCAAAAGCGAAGAAGATGTGTTATCGCATCTTAGGGAATATAGTTATGATAAATTTGTTTTAAAGATAGCCGATTTTCAAGTATGTGTATTTTTAATTTTTGAAATGTTAAATGCCTTGACGTTGATGGATTTACCCACGTCTGTTAACTGTAATGTAAAACTGTAATGCAGGTATTAGTTTCATTACCGGGTGAAGAATGGCGCGCAATATTGTCAAACGTGGATGATTCTGTGACATTGTTGCATCCGACAACACTCGAAATCCAATTTCATAAGTGTTTAGTAATGGACGATCCTTTACTTCCAAAGTTCAGATTAATCGGGCAATTACCATCGGTTGTTGTTAATTTAACAGGTTGAAGAAAGAATTTCATTTTAACGAGTAATATATATCAATGATGCACGCGATATAATCCCCTTTAATTTTCTTAGACATTCGTCTGTTACAAGCTCTTTCTATCGCTCAGAGCATACCACAGCCAAAGGAAGAAGAACCAACAGACCAGAAAGCATCCTTGGTACATTTTGCGTTATATGTCGAATATTAGCGAGTTAAGTGTTCTATCCTTACGATTACGAAATACTTTTTTTTTTTTTTTACAGAGCAAATCTGTTTCGCAATTATCTTTACTGAAAGATTTAACCACTACTATTGCTGAGAAGAAGAAAGAAGAGTCTGCTGTAACTTCAGTAAAACAGATGATCGATATGGAGATGAAATTTGAAATGAAAGGTAACGAATGACGTTTTATGGACAATTATTCATTCAATTTACAATTGTGTCGTCTATTACAGAATTCGCGATACAAGTTTCGTCCCAAAAAGGCAGTGAAGTAATACCGTTTGTAAAATTCGAGATATTGCAGTTAGAAGCAGAGATGGTACAACGAACTTACGATCGAGAGATATCATTAAGACTAGGCGGCGTTCAAGTTAAGCAACATTACAGTCAAAGAGAAATATTTATGATAAACACTCCTATGCTGTCAGGTAGACACGAATATTTGATAACGGTACAGTACATAAATGTAAGTAAAACATAAACTTATACGATTGCGTGAATTATATTATTCGCTGGATGTAATTTAACTCCGTTACGTTTACGTTTCAGGTGAATAAACGATCTCCTGAATTTAAAACAAAGCATGGATCTGTTCTTCAATTGCTAAAATTAGAATTTACAACGTTAGACGTTTTATTACATCAGGAAGCTCTTATAAATCTTCTTCAATTTATATCATACGTTCAGGTAGAAGGACAAATTTTGTGCGTAAGCAAAGAATATAAATTACAATACTCTTGTATATTTGAATTGTAGGATCAAATGAACGTCATAGCAAACGATAAACTCAAGAAACAGCCTGCTTTGCGTCCACGGCCTAGTCATTTGGTTTCCATTCAAGAAGAAACTTCTACGTTCTTGAAGGAACAAATTCAAAAGCAAAAATTTAGATCAACGACGCGTAAATATATTTTTATATGTTTTTTATACCTGCCAGAGTTGTAATTGTTACAACTCTGCATCGTATAATTTTACATGTACGTTTAGGACGAAGGAGAACAGCGATAGAACACGTAGATTTGAAAGTTCAAGCAAAAGTTGGGACCATCTGTATGAAGATCACTAGCGATTGCAGACAAATCACTGCACTTTATGTCGATGGTATCACCGCTGGATTTGTAATGAAAGCTTCCTACTCTCAAACAAACATTAATTTATCTTCCATTAGTATTAAAGATCTTAACGAAGCGTCGATTTATAGGGATGTAAGATTTCATTTTCTTGTACTCTTCTTTCCTGTTGTCTTGAATGTTGCACGTGCAACTTGCTACGCAGTTGTTCATTTGTCATCAATATCAATTAATTATTGTTTGGCGTTTGGTAGATCGTATCGGTGACGGAAGATACTGAATCTCTGCAAATCCAGGCTATAATGTATAACATTGAACCGTCGGAAATTGATAAAAATAATATGTCTATTACGGTTGTTATGGGTTGCTATCGTATCGTCTTTTTGAATATATTTGTTACCAGTATAATGGTAAGAAAAAAAAAAAATAATTTATATATTTTTCAGCACGTAGATAGTATGAAAATAGATTTTTGATCTTTCAGAGTTTCTTAAACAATTTTCAAACGGCTCAACAAGCTATAAAGGATGCGTCAGCAGCAGCCGCAGAAGCCGCGAGGACAAATATTAAAGACGTTAAAGAAAGCGCAACGCGTATTGGACTCGCTATAAAAATTAAGGTACGTAAAAATAATTCGAATCGTATTTTAATCTTAACGTATTAAACTTTTTACATTATGTAAAATATGTCTACGTTATTGTGTCTAGGCTCCAGTTATATACGTACCAATGCATTCAAAAAGTGATCATTGTTTGACGTTAGATATGGGTAATCTTACTGTATGTAACGTTTTTAAGAAATTGGAAGTTACAAATGACAGCGGAGATTGCCCTATTATCGATGAAATGAGAGTCGAGTTGCAAAATTTGAAATTATCCCGGTAACAGTTCGTTACTTAGAATTACTTAATCTGTGATAACATTTACTAATTATAATCGCGTTTACTCAATGTAATTAAGTTAATTTCACTCCAACAGGGTAAGATTAAATGTAAAAAAGTTTGCGATTGAAAATGAAATATTGTTGTTGGAACCAGTTAGTTTTACACTGCTCGTTAAACGTAATTTATCTACTGCCTGGTTCACCTCTATACCAGATATTGACATGTCGGGCAGATTAAATAAAATTAACATATTAATAAGTAAAGAGGACTATGAAACTGCAATGAAAGTATTGGAAAAGAATTTAGGCGAGACAGCCGAAGATAAAAGATTTACGGCAAGCGTAAATCAATCCGAAAAGAAGTTAGAAGTAGAAGTTTTGCAACATCATCATCAAAGTGGTAAGAGTAAACAATTTGTTTTTGTATTTCTAGTTAAGAAATTAAGAAATTACGTACTCATCGTACGTCTCAATTCATTTGAGCAGACAAATTTGTAAGAGCTACTGCAGAAGATACGGAAGATGCAAACTTGCAAGAACAAATACATGTGCACACGTCTATCAAATTTGAGTTTGTTATGGACAGCCTTGTGATTACCTTATTCACAGGAGGTTCAAAAATGGTAATTCCAATGAAATATCGTGCTATACGATTGTATCGTTGTCCGAGCATATAAATTAATTATCTAAATTAATTAAAGTTGCAGTCACAAAGTTCTCTGCTTCATCCACCAGAGAACGGACTAGCGAAATTTTGTCTAACTCATTTCGCCTTGAAAGGTCGAATATTTGCCGATGGATTAATGGCAACTTCAATTCTCCTTATGAACTGTACCTTAGATGATATACGTCAGAGCAGACAAGGTTCTCTTGTAAGAATTATGGAAAGAACTACTGCGATACCTTCTATGGACGACGTGGAGAAAGAATCGAAACCCATTCGTAGCATGTTAGACATGACTGTTAGACAGAGTTCAAACGATACGTTCGGTAAGTTGAAAAATTCATTTTTTAACCGACGTAAAGTTCATTCTCAGTTTTACTCAAGAGTTTTGCAATTCTCGTTTTCAGTTGACATTCGAGTTTTTTCATTTAGCATTATCGTATCGCTTGACTACCTAATGAAAGTAAAGGATTTTTTTACCGTCGACGAACCACCGACGAATAAATCAGTGCCCCAGCAGCACGTACCAAAAAATCAAAGCGAATCGGCAGTTAAAAAGAAACAAGTTACATCGCCTACTAAAAAAATGTTTACGATTAATATACACGTTGAGAAACCAGATATTATCCTGTTAGAAGACATGGATGACATAAATTCCAATTGCATCATATTAAATGTGATATCTACTTTTCATTTTTTTTTTTTTTT